TAGTTATGCCTTTGATTTTTCCTTCCTCAGGGTAGTACCTTTCACTTATCTCTACTGAATTTCATCTTGTTGATTTCAGACCAATTCATAGAACCATAGGACTGGAAGGGACCTTGAGAGGTCATCTAGTCCAGTCCCCTGCACTCATGGCAGGACTATTATTTAGACCATCCCTGACAGTTATTTGTCTAACCTGCTCTTAAAAATCTCTAATGATGGAGATTCCGCAACCTCTCTAAGCAGTTTATTCCAGTGCTTAACTACCCTGACAATGAGGACGTTTTTGCTAATGTCCAGCCTAAACCACCCTTGCTGCAAATTTAAGCCCATTGCTTGTCCTAACCTGAGAGGCTAAGGAGAACAATTTTTCTCCCTCCTCCTTGTAACAACTTTTTTATGTACACCTCTACCCCTATATTACATGGTCCTCAGGAGCCAAAAAATCTTACTGCGTTATAGGTGAAACCGCGTTATATCAAACTTGCTTTGGCCTCGAGCATTTCCGTTATTAATAGTCACTTCCCGCCCCCTGGCCTGACCCCTCAGAACCCCCCAGACCCATCCAACACCCCCCCCTCCGCTCCCTGTCCCCTGACTGCCCCGACCCCATCCACACACCCCCTCTCCTGACCATCTTGCCCTCAGAACCTCTGAACCATCCAACCCCGCCTGCTCCTTGTCCTGTGACCACCCCCGGAGACCCTCTGCCCCTTATCCAACCCCTCAGCCCTGGCCCAGCACCTTTAACACGCCGCTCGGAGCAGCATGTCAGAGCCTGACACACTGATATGCCGGAGTGTGCAGCCCCGCCACCCAGAGCTCTGCTTTACCACATTATATCCGAATTCGTGTTATATCGGGTCACGTTATATCGGTATATATATATATACTTGAAAACCGTTGTCATGTCCCCTCTCAGTCTTCTTTTCTCCGAAACAAACACAGTTTTTTCAATCTTCCCTCATAGGTCATGTTTTCCAGACCCTTAATCATTTTTGTTGCTCTTCTCTGGACTTTCTCCAATTTGTCCACATCTTTCCTGAAATGTGGCACCCAGAACTGGACACAATACTCCAGTTGAGGCCTAATCAGCATGGAGTACAGCGGACAAATTACTTCTTGTGTCTTGCTTACAACACTTCTGCTAATACAGCCAAGAATGGTGTTTGCTTTTTTTTTCTTTTTTGGCAACAGTGTTACACTGTTTAACTTGTGATCCACTATGATCCCCAGATCCCTTTCTGCAGTACTCCTTCCGAGGCACTCATTTCCCATTTTGTATTTGTACATTGTGCATTGTATTTGTGATGGTTCCTTCCTAAGTGGAGTACTTTGCATTTGTCCTTATTGAATTGCATCCTGTTTACTTCAGATCATTTCTCCAGATCATTTTGAATTTTAATCATATCCTCCAAAGCACTTGCAACCTAAATTTCCCTCTAAGCTGCGCAGCCACACTGCAGGTTATCAAGGGCCATGCAGGCACGCAACCAGAAGAGCCTGTACTGGAGAGGCACCTCTCTTCCCTGCCGCAGCCCCGGAGCAACCTGCACCCCAAACCTCTCATCCCCGGCCCCACCTTAGAGCCCGCAACCCCCACCGGAGCCCTCACTCTCCGCACCCCAACCTTCTGCCCCAGCCCTGAGCCCCCTCCCACGCCCTGAACCCCTCATCCCTGGCTCCACCCCAGAGCCTGCACCCCAAACCCCTCATCCCGAGCCCACACCCCCAGCCAGAGCCCTCAGACCCCCACACCCCAACTCTCTGCCCCAGCTCTGAGCATCCTCCCACACTCCTAACCCTTTGGCCCCATCCCCGCCACATATCACCTCCATATTGGTGCATATAACAAAATTAATTCCACACATGGATGTAAAACATTAGAGGGAACATTGCTTGCAACCCCTTCCAGCTTGGTATTGTCTGCAAACTTTATAGGTATACTCTCTATGCCATTATCTAAATCACTGATGAAGATATTGAACAGAACCGGACCCAGAACTGCGGAACCCCACTTGATGTGCTCTTCCAGCTTGCCTGTGAACCACTGATAAGTACTCTCTGGCAATGGGTTTCCAGCCAGTTATGCACCCATCTTATAGTAGCTCCATCTAGGTTGTATTTTCTTAGTTTGTCTATGAGAAGGTCATGCAAGACTGTATCAAGCATTACTAAAGTCAAGATATACCATTTCTGCCGCTTCCTCCCTATCCACAAGGCTTGTTACTCTGTCAAAGAAAGCTATTAGGTTGGTTTGACACGATTTGTTCTTGACAAATCCATGCTGATTGTTACTTAGCACCTTATTATCTTCTAGGTGTTTGCAAATTGATTGCTTAATTATTTGCTCCCATTATCTTTCCAAAAAGAAAAGGAGTACTTGTGGCACCTTAGAGACTAACCAATTTATTTGAGCATGAGCTTTCGTGAGCTCACGAAAGCTCATGCTCAAATAAATTGGTTAGTCTCTAAGGTGCCACAAGTACTCCTTTTCTTTTTGCGAATACAGACTAACACGGCTGTTCCTCTGAAACCTATTATCTTTCCAGGTACTGAAGTTAAGCTGACCAGTCTGTAATTCCCCAGTTGTCCTTATTTCTCTTTTTATAGATTGGCACTATATTTTCCCTTTTCCAGTCCTCTGGAATCTCTCCCATCTTTCATGACTTTTCAGAGATAATCACTAATGGCTCAGATATCTCCTCGGTCAGCTCCTTGAGTATTCTAGGATGTATATCATTAGGCCCTGAAGACATCGAACTTGTCTAAGTAATTTTTAACTTGTTTTTTCCCTATTTTAGCCTCATATCCTACCTCATTTTCACTGGCATTCACTATGTTAGACATCCAATCACTACTAATCTTTTTGGTGAAAACTGAAACAAAAATGTCATTTAGCTCTTCTGTCATTTCCACTTTTTCTGTTACTATTCATGATTGAATAGTACCGAACCCAAGACTGACCCTTGTTGACCTCACTAAATATGCCCTCCCATTTAGACAGTGATCCATTGGTAATTTACTCTTGAGTATAATTTTTCAACCAGTTGTGCACCCACCTTATTGTAATTTCATCTAGACCACATTTCCCTGTTTTGCTTATAAGACTCTCATATGGGACTGCATCAAAAGCTTTACTAAAATCAAGATCTATCATGCCTACTGCTTCCTCCCAGCCACAAGGCCAGTCATAATTGGGAGGTGCTCAGATGCTATAGAAAGAAGGGCCATGTGAGTACTTAAGATAAATAGACATTAGGGTCAATGAAACTTTTGCCATTTATTTCATGGAGCCAGAATTTCACCTAAAATAATTCCCCATAGTTCTGTAAAACAAAAGATGAGCTTTTCAACTGATGCAATTACAGCACTGATTTAAATGTTCATTCATCATTTTACATCCTTAGTGTTGCCAATATGTAATAATTCACTGGATGGAGTATTAATTTCATTTCAAATGAATTTGAGTACGCTGTAGGTATTCGTGCTCACTTGGAGTATAAAAATTGAAATAGTTTTTAATATGTACACATTTTAACCCAAACTGTTTGACTGAGTAAGCAAGCTATTTGAAAATGACATTGCTTAGAAAGAAGCTATACTTAAGGAGAGAGAACAGCTTTTAATTCTTTCCAAATGTTAACTCTTTACAGCTTGACTGTACAAATTAATTTAATAAATAATGGATTTAGCTTAAGCCATGACAGTTTCAAAATATAGATAAGGATTATCTCCATTTCTAAATGGAGAAGCTGAGGTACAGAGAGGATATATGATTTACCCAAACTCACACAGAGAATCACAGTGAGAGTTGGGATTAGAATGCAAGTCTCCTGGCTCTCAGTTTTGACTTTATAAACACTGCCTCTCTTACTTCAGAGAGCTACAACTTCTCTTGTTCGGTTAAATAGATGAGGAAAAGAATCTGATTACTCTCCAACATTTTTCGTACTGCTTTTCACTGTGGAAGGATATATGATACAGTGTCACAGTAATTACACTCAGTTACACTATTTATGCTCAAATAAATTTGTTCATCTCTAAGGTGCCACAAGTACTCCTGTTCTTTTTGCTGATACAGACTAACACGGCTGCTACTCTGAAACCAGTAATTACACTGTCATGGTTGAGTTTTTAAAGTATTACTTTGTTAAAAGAAAAAAAATTACAATAAGACATTCCAGCCAATATATTATGGTTCAAAAACTCCCTTACTAATACACGTATAGCACTTAGCCTATGGTAATTAATTACTTGACATTTACAAATGGAGACATGAAAGTCAAAATACCTAGAAAACACAGGACATTATTCTGCTTTATGACAAGTCACACTGTTACCTCTAAGACCTTGTCATCAGTAGGAGGGGAAAAGTTTTAACATGTATTAACTAATGTGTTGAAATACAATGTAAAAATATTAGGATTTCCCCAGGGAACCTGCTAACGTTTCTTAAAACTACAACTGCCTTGTCTACACATGACATGTGTTAAAAGTATGCATTTTTTCCTTGTGCTAGACATGGCCTAAAAGATAGACCTATAGTACAAAACCTCAAGGAAACTGGGAGTTTGGCTGGTTTTGCAGTTGTGTTAACTTACTATATCTGTAAACAACCAGTATGTATATACAGAATTATTCTAAAGTGATATTAAATCTCTCTCATTCTGTTGTATATCATTATTTTTTTTTAAATGTACCACGCTAACAATTCTGTAAATTTGTTCTATGCTTGTGCTGATTTAAAATTTTGACTGGAATATTAAAAATTTCCTGGTTGAGAAATAGCTTTAAATTACTTTTAAATTGAGTTTATATAATTAAAAGAGAATGTCTGTCATTTTCTATCTACTAATTAACATTTTTAAAAATACCTCAAATTAGAAAGTACAAAAGACCCGTAATTGAGAAAAAAATGTTACAACTTTAGACAAGTGGACTATATCTATTGAAGGAATTTTGGATCTGTATGTTTGATAAAGTTTGTTTCTCTTTCCTAGTTTGAAAAAGAAAAACAACATGACATTCGTGCCTTCTTTTCACCAAAACCATCTGCTGAGAAAAAACGCAAAATTGATTCTTGGGATAAATCACTGAACTTTACTGCAGGAGATTCTAAAGTCACACCGGGAAAGGACATAGAGGAGGGCAGCAGGCATTTGGACGCCAGAGAAATAATTGATGTGGATGCAATTTGTTATGAAAATGGCTGTGAGCCTGAAGCTAAAAGACCAAGAGCTATAAGTACACCCACCCAAAGCAGCTCCAGTGAGAAAAAAAGAAAAATTTTGCCTGGAAAAACAAACACTTTGTGTATCAAAGAAACTGATCATGGTCTTTCTGGTGGCTCTCTGTCTAATTCAAGGAAAAAATCACCTTTAGCCAAAGTCTGGTGTTGTAGTCTTTGCACTTACACTAATAATTCGTTATTACCTTATTGTGAAATCTGTGAATGTCCTCGTGGTAGTGATGGTGAGTAACCCATGCTGCACATTGTAACTGAATAGGCATATTCCTATCTTGTTTTTCTTCAAAGATTATAGTGTTTTTATACTCAAATACATAAGTATTTACAAATTCAGACAAAATATGAAGAATAAAATCGTCACATGAGGTGGAATTTTTGAAATTGTCTCCTAATTTTGGTCAGGAACTTATTTCAGAAAGTTCCTGTGATATGACATTAATTAGCAAAAATGGATACCTGTTTAAAGTCAGTAGGATGTAAATTCAATGAGCAGCAGCAGAAATTGTTTCCATGGCAGCAAGCATGCTCTACAGTCAGAGCCCTGCTGCTTTCTTTCCCTTCAGAGGATTTATCATTATCAACAAGCCAATGAAATTATAGATTTTTTTTCCTATCTTTTCACGGCCGAATGATGCAGTGTCAATGCTTTACTTAGTTAAACAAGTATGTAATTGTCACAAGAGCTAACATTTTAAGACATGAAAAGTTTTTAAATTTGTAAATATTTAAATTTCTCCCCTCAAAGAATAAAAATTGGAATGTCCATAGTAAGTTTGTGTTTTAAAATAGCCAAAAGATTTTTATAAAGTCCTAACTATCTGTCTCCATGGTATATGCATTTTGGTATCACTGTCATCTAGATTGTTTGTGGAGAAAAGATGAGTAGGCATTTTTTAAAAAGCTGTTTAAACACAAATAATAAGAGCTATTAGCCTTGTATATTTTCTTTTTGAAATAGCATAATCAACTAAAGGACATATTTTAAACTTCATATTTCAAACAGAAAATTACCCTTAGGAAATTACAGATCCTGTTGTGCTTATTGTACAATGTCCATACTTTATTCACCACAATATCTACTGTTTTGTATTTTGAAAGTAAGTTGTATGTATAACATACTGCTTGTACCTCTTTAATACTAACTATTAGGATGTGAGAGGATCATATTAATTTGCTCCAGGGACCTGAGTTAGTGGACTTCTTCCAGTTCTTGGGTGACAAATAGCTATAAAATAAAAGCCACCACCATAGTTGGTAGCATTGTTGACAGTTTCAGTAGTGGAGACCAAGGCTAGATTGTGTCATGGACTCTGAACTGTTTCACTCACTAGCTGATACACATCGGTAAGCAGTGCCAGTGCAATACCTATGCCATAGAGGACTTTTGTTTCCTATGTCATCAACCTGGCTCATCTCATAAGCACTAAAATTCACTTAAGAAAAATAATAGAAACAAATATAATTATATTGGTTCTAATTGATTTCACAGACATTAAGCTCTAGTTTCTAAAATAAAATATGTTTGCTGTGGGGTAGAGAGAGAAGCAATTGGTCTGTACATTTTCCTCAGATAAATAATAAATACTGTATAAGTAGAACTTTAAAAATTGTATTGAAATGTATTAATGTTAGTATTGTTCAACATTAGGAATAATATGCTGAATAATATGTAATTTTCAACATCATGCAATTTAAAATATTTTTAAAATTGAAGTTTAAACTTAAACATTACAGTTTTCAGGTGTTTAATTGTTTAAAACTATCTGTTACTATTCAGCAAGTCTAAAATTAATTTCATTTCATTTATGGCACAGCTGTTCTTTCAGAATTAACTACTGGATTCTTATAACCAAAATACATTTTAGGATACTTTGTTTCAAATATAAATTAATATTACTGCCTAATATTTATCTTATTTACTTAATTATTTTTATAGACGCAAAGTAAAATTGATCACTTTCCTATTTCTTTAACTATAGATAAACAGAATACAAATCAAATGAATGATCCTCCCTCTACTCTGAGTGAAGGAGAAAATGCATCACAGGACTCTAGAAAAATCAAAGGTATAGCAATATGCAATGCAGACAATGAGAGAAAGGATTTAGTACAAACAGCGACTGAATCATCTGATGAGATTGGGGGAGAAGTCGCTAATGCTGTTGAAAATGGATCTGAAGAATGTGAGCAAAAGCATCAAGAAGGTAAAGAAAAATAGAGTTCCTAGTAGAGCCAATTTACCATAGCAGTTCTGCAGAATTGCATTAAACATAAACACTGGGATGCAGATTCATTTGGAAACCACATATTTGAAACACAGAAAAGCCGCACATGCAGAATGACCACTGGGCTTCTGTGTTTCACCATAGGACAGCCAGTTGAATTGTCAGGTGGGCTGAACCCAACATTTTCATCCAACTATGGCAGAACCACAGATATACATAGTAATGTTCACAGTTTGCTTTTGGGTTGTGTGACAAATATGCCCTATGAGCAGCTGCCAGTTAGCAGGTTGTTGTTCCATATACAGTCATTTTATTGAATTTTGTGGCTGCAGATACTCGTCTGTGGTTATATTGTACACAGCGTAGATACATTTTAATGTTTAATGAGAAACACATGGGGTAAAAATACAAAGGTCCTTTTAATTTCCCTCCTTTTTTCTTTAATTTTCTCCTGCCCATCATTCCAATAGGTTTCTTCTACTTTGTTGCTTCATTTGTGGGCGGCAGGCTGCAGTGAACTTTGCAGTGTGCATCCTTGTTGTCCGTTGGCCTGCTAGTACAGGTTTCTCTGGTCATATTGAGCTGTTATCCTAGGCAGCAATTAGTTACAGAATCTCTGTGATATGTAGAATGCCTGATATTCATGTTCATTCTTATGGATACAATTTTTGTCACTATAAAATTATGCATATCTTTATTCATTCTCATTCAGTTTCTTAAGCAACACCAGAATGTGTCTAACTTTTTTAAACTTAAGTAAAAGATGCTTCCAAGTCTTCATGTAACAACAATAACACCTTCTTGTAAGCACACTATCACAGGGTGTTTTACTCACCACTGGGTGGCATTGCTTTCTGGCGACTCTGGGGATTAACTGTGCCTGGTTCAGAGTCCCGTTTCTGGTCTTCCACCGTGCAGCTGTCCTGCTCACAGAGTCATACTATGGTTGCTTCCTGACTTGGCCCTCTGGTCAGGTCACCCTGTGATTTTCCGCTTCCAGGGGGAGTTTTTCCAAGTCTCTGTGCACAAGCAGCGTCAGACAATCCTCTCATCCACTGCCACAGTGAATCAGGTAGTCGTCTTGTTCACTGCCCCCAGCAATGCCATTCTGTAGTGGATGGCAAGAAAGCCCAGGCCTACCCTCTACTCTGGGTTCCAGTCCCAAGCCCTATAGCGAGCAGTTAAGGTATGGATTTTCACCAACCCTACTGCTGTCTTCTCTGAACTACTTGGAGTGTACAGACTTTCATCTTGGACTGGTTTGAATTAGGTAAGGATAGAGGTATGATGTGTTGCTGTGATACTTTAAATACAGACTTGTAATGAAATATTATTTATATAAGAATAGTATTCAGATGCTCCAGTCAGAATTGAGGCCCTCTTGGGATAGGTCTGATACAAACACATACAAAAATACTGTCCCTGCACCCAAGACCTTACAACCTAAGGATGAAAAATACAATATTAGAAGGATGTCACATGCTAGAACAGACAGAACTGGTACAAAACAGAGGTAGTAGCTTGTGTATATTATACCATTAGAAACATCATTAGAGAAAAGTTTATTAGAATGATATTGCTTAAGTTGTTAGAACCCTAAGTTTTAATTCTAAGTTCCAAACGAAATATCAAATACTTTTTTTTAGCTTCTCCCAAAGACACCATTTTAGAAGCGAAGCAAAGCCTAATATGCATTGAAAGAGCAATGTGAGGCTCTTATCTTATGACTTTTAGATCTAGTTAACCTTTTTCTGTGGCAGGTATGCTCATTTTCCATCTTTGTTCCAAGTAATGAAGATTAGATTTAAAAAAAAAAAACTTATTATTTTTTATAGGATGTGTTGATAATTCAGATACTTTTCCAGTGTATGATGTGCTGAACTTCTGTGCAAGTAGGAATACTGATAGAATTCACCTCTATACAAAGGTAAACATTACAATGCACTCAATCTCTACAGGTTTCACATACCAGTATGCTTATTGTAGGGCAACATTTTACTTTGTAATAATGAAAGGTTTACAACACATATGCATTTATATTTTAATTTTCTTATTTCATACCAAAGCTTTCTTTTTTATTAACTGAGATGTACAAAAATTAGGCAATTTATCTTCTAGTTCTTTTCTGCCAATTAATAATAGTTCTCTAGACAAGATAATTTTTCTCCTAGCTTACAAATGTTTTCTCAATGGATATATTTTAGAAGGCTGATAAATTGGGTTATCTATTGAGGTACAAATGTTAGTGGTTTATGAGGGTTCTTTGCTGTAAAATAGGAGTTTCAGAACACTTAGTTATTAGGGTGGTAGACTTTTTCCTTTCTTGGTTGTAAAAATCTTGCCTTTCCAATTATTGCTAAAATGAGCTGAAGAAAGAGATAATCATTGTCATCTTGTGAAAGTGCTCTTACAGGGCCTTATCCAAAATTAAAATCAAGGGGATTTGATATATGGTGATATATATAGGCTCTTGAAAATGGTGTTTAATCTAGAAGACAATAGTGTGCAACATAATAACAGATGTTTTCTGTTAAAGTACTATCAGATAACTTTTGATTCTTCTTCGAGTGCTTGCTCATGTCCATTCCATGTCAGATGTGTGCACGCCGTGTGCACCGTTGTCGGAGAGTTTTCTCCTACCGGTATCTGTAGGGCCGGCTCTAGTGCCCCTTGGAGGCCTGCACATATGCACCAATATAAGGGGCGCTGTCGGCTCTGCGCCCTCTCAGTCCCTTCTTAGTACCCATGACGGTTGCTGGAATGCTCTTGCTCTTCCTTCGACAAGACTTCTCCCGGTGTTTTTCTGAACTCTCGTTGTATGTAGTTGATAGTTTTTAGTTGTTTAAGTAGTTTTTTAGAGTTAGTTGTTAGTCCCCATAAGGGACTTTGTTCCTGGGACGGGACCTGCACCTGTCCCCGAGGTTCAAGCCTTGTGCAACTTGCACAAAGCCTATGCCTGTGACTGATCCTTACTCCAGCTGTTTAAAGTGCTTGGGGGAAACTCATGTAAAAGACAAGTGTCGGATCTGCAGGAGTTTCAGACCCCACACGCAAAATGACAGGGACATCAAACTGAAAGCCCTGCTTATGGAAGCCAGGCTGAGATCAGCCTCCAAGCCAGGCAGATCGGACTCAGCACTGAGAACCTCCACCTCTGTGTGCAGTGCTCCTCCAGCATCGGGTCCCTTCTGGTACCGCTCAACCTCTCCAGTACAGGCAAAGCGGCACAGGAAGCATGCCAACAGAGGGCGCTCCCCTATGCCTCAAGAAGAGCAGAGAAGCCTGGGGGGGAAGATGTGACCCATGTCACCATCCCCTCAAAGGTGTACGGCTGGGGAACTTACAGAACCCGTGGTACCCAGCCCGCTGAGGGATCCCCCGAGTATGCTGGGCACGAGCAGAGGCACGGAGCACATGAGGGCACTGTCCACATCCAAACGCTTTCAGGCTGCCAAAGACATAATGGCCCTTTCAATCCTGCCCAGGCCAAGGGATCGCCAGCCTGTGGCGGGGGAACCACCTAAGGCCGTTGTCTCAAGAGGGAAACCCAAGTTGGGACCCCCTCGGTGGTCCCCAGCCCATCACCAGTCTCTGTCTTTGGCCAGGTCTTGGGCATCGACATGCCCATCCCCAGCTTGCCAGCCCCAGTCTCCATCACCTAGACACTGGTCGCCTCAGCCTAGGCGCTGATCACCGAATCCCAGGTGTTGGTCACCAGATATCTGACATCGTTCTCTGGCACCGTGGCACCAGTCCCCAGAGGCCCGGTGTTGGTCTACTGAACCGCAGCGCCACTCACGTGAGTCCTGGCACCAGTTGCCAGAATGCTGGCACCAGTCATTGGAATATCTGCACCGATCTTCAAGTCCTCGCAGTCATTCCCCAGTACTGAGGCCTTGCTCTCCGGACCCCCATCAGAGTTGACTAGAGGGTGCAACAGCACTGCCTGGGTCATCCTATGAAGAATCTTCATTGGGCTCCAAAGAGGAATCAGCGCTGCCTCTGAAGAGGCACCACCATCCGGCTTACCAGACAGATGTTGGTGCCGTTCCATCCATGGGCCCATAGACCCTGGGTCAATGGCCAGTCCATTGGCAGTACTGGAAGCCGTGGGGGTTACCAGTGGTACTGGGTCACTTTTTGCACTCCCCTTCAGTAATGACCTCTGAAAGGAGCACTGTGGCCCCACCTCAGCCCATGCCAAAACTGGCTTTGGACTCGGACCACAGCACCGAGATCCCCATCGTACCCCCAATTGAAGGGGCCCCAGGACAGATCAAGGACCCAGCTCCTCCCCTCCGGTGGCTTCCTCCTCGTCTTTCCCTGATGAGGCACTCATGGGGCCTGCTAACCCTGTACCCCCCCCAGTGATCTCAAACACCACCAGGAACTTCTTAAGAAAATCGCCTCCAATCTGGGCCTGGAGGTGGAGGAGCTCAAACAACCTGCAGACCCCATTTTTGATATTTTGACAGCTGCAGCTGCAAGGTGGCTCTTCCCATGCACCAGGAGGTGCTCAAGGTGGTAAAGGCACTCTGGCAGACCCCCACTTCTTTGCCCTCAACTTCCAAGAGGGCAGAGAAGAAGTATTACGTGCCTGCAAAGGGCTACGATTATATATACTCCCACCCCTCTCCTGGTTCCCTGTTGGTTGCTGCTGCCAATGAGTGGGATAGGCAGGGCCCAGGCCAGTGCTACCTCAAAAAACAAGGAGGCAAAACTATGTGATGGGTTCCCCCCAGGGTGCCACCTGGAACTGGAGTACCACTGAGCCCTCTGACCCACCATCCTGGGCTCCCTCTCTCACTGTGCTCCTGTGACAAGCTGCAGACCTGCTCCCAGATCTTCACTCCCCACACAAGAAGACTCCTGGAAACATCTGAGGAACAAAGACTGAACAGGGAGGGTTTCCCGGTGGCACCCCAGGGGGAACCCATCACAAACGCTTGGACCTATTCAGTAGAAAAGTTTATTCTACTGCAAGCCTCCAGCTGCATATCGTAAACCAACAACTGCTTCTAGGGCGATACAACTTCGTCGTTTGGGTCTCCAAACGGTCACTGCCCCAAGAAGTGCAGCAGGAGTTCGGGACCATTGTGGAAGAGGGAAAGACCATGGCGAGGACCTCCCTCCAGTCCGCCCTGGATGCGGCGGACTTGACATCCAGGTCGATGGCGTCGGCAGTCGCCATGAGGAGGGGCTCATGGTTGCCATCATCAGGGCTGTCACCAGAGGTCCAGCAATTAGTGCGGGACTTTCCATTCGAAGGGTCCTCGCCATTCTCAGACCAAACGGACATGAAGCTGCATGGAGTTAAAGACTCCAGAGCCACATTAAGATCCCTGGGCCTTTATACATCGGCAGCTTCTTGCAGACGTTTTAGGCCTCAGCAGCCGCATTTCTCAGGTCCAGCCAGACACAAGATCAACTAGCGCAAAGGGAGAGGTTACAGGCACTGCCAGAACCTACCAGCCTCTTCTTCCTCCCAGCAGAGTACTAGCAATGCGCTGAGCAGGCCTAGGCAGGCCTTTTGAAGGCGCTCAGAGGGATGGACTACCAGTCTCCCTTCTAGATCTGGAAACCCCCTCACCCTTTATTTTTAGATCGCCTTTCCTCCTATCTCCCCACTTGGGCAGCAGTAACATCAGACCACTGGGTGCTCAGCACCATCATCCTGGGGTATATCCTCCAGTTTATTTCCATTCCTCCACCACACACCCCTTCCCTGTCCCTCTTCAGGGTCCTTCTCATGAGCAACTTCTCGTCCAGGAGGTGCAGGCCCTCTTCCGCATGGTGCTCTGGGACTGGGGTGCATGAGGGACTGGGGGCCATGGAGAGGGGGTGTGTGCACCCTGGGCTGCAGGGGGGAGGGACAAGGCGGGGGGGGGGCGCAGGCTAGCCTCCCCCAACGGTAAAGGCCCATTTGACAAGGGCACAGACATCTTCTGCAGACTTCCTGGCACAGGTCCTGATTCAGGACATTTGCAGAGGTGCAATGTGGTCCTCGGTCCACATGTTTGTGGCCCATTATGCCATCACCCAGCAAGCCAGGGATGATGCCAATTTTGGCAGAGCTGTGTTACAATCCACTCACCTGTAAACTCCTAGCCCACCTCTGAGGGCACTGCGTGTGAGTCACCTGACATGGAATGGACATGAGCAAGCACTTGAAGAAGAAGAAACAGTTACTAACCCTCCATAATTGTTGTTCTTCGAGATGTCTTGCTCATGTCCATTCCATGACCTGCCCTCCCTCCCATGGCCAGAGTTGACAGTAAGAAGGAACTGAGAGGGCGCAGGACCGGCAGCGGTCCTTATACTGGTGCATAAGCGCGAGCCTCCAGTGGGCAATAGAGCCGGTCCTACAGATACTGCTGGGAAAAAAGTCTCCGTCAATGGTGCATGCGGCGTGCGCACACCTGACGTGGAATCGACGTGAGCAACACATCTCGAAGAACAACAGTTACAGAAGGTTAGTAACAGTTTTATATGCTAGCATGTGCTCTTTGAGAATTGTTTTACCAAAAACCTCAACTATGATCAGGAACCACCACTACCACAGTCCAGCACCAAACTCTTCCAGGGTGAAAAATGAATGTCCCTAGTTGGACTTGAAATTGTATTTACTTACGTGACTAAGCCATCTTCCTTGGTGAAAATTAGAAGAAAAATATTTTCTATTCAATTTTTCAATCATTTTGGGAATATATATAATTAAATTTTTATGTATGGCTGTGGTTTGGTTTGTAAATGGTTTACAATAACTTACCAATCTCTCAGTTAAATAAAATAATAACAGCTCCTGTCCACCAGTAAGTATTGGATCAAAGTTGTAGTCAAGGGTATTCTTTAAAATGTTCAAAAGGATAATAAAAATGTTTGTATTGGCAGAACATTCCTAGATTCCAGAACTAGAAGGGACCATTGTGATCATCTAGTCTGACCTAGTATAACACAGGCTTCCCAAAATAATTCCTGCATAAAATCATATCTTTTAGAAAAACATCCAATATTGATTTAAAAATTGAAGTGTTGAAGAATCCACCATTGACCCTTGGTAAACATTCTAAATGTCAGTAAAAATTATGACAGTGCATCATTTCAACCTGCAAACATAATATTGTTTTCTCCCAAGTTTCAGAAAACTAAGCAACTGGTGCCATATATGCAGGGGTGAAATTAAGGCGGTACGGGCTGGTACGGCGTACCGGTAAAAAGTGGCCGCCAGTAAAACAGACTTTAAAGCGCTGCCACAGCAGCGCTTTAACATTGCTGCTCCTTTTGCGCCCCACATCGGCGGCCCTGCCAGGTCCCTAGCGGCAGGGCCACTGACGGGGGACGGGGGGCGCAAAAGGGGCAGCGATGTTAAAGCACTGCAGCGGCAAAGGACCTTGCCCCTTTTGCCCCCACACCTGGCCGGCAAATTTAAAAGGGTAGCAGCAGTGGCCGGAGCCCTGGGCCCTTTAAATCACTGCTGGAGCTCTGGGTGGCACAGGCCAGGCAGCGCAAATGGGCTGGCTGGGGGATGCTGACTTCCCCCCCCCCAGCCCTGCCCCTTCCGCCCGAGGCCCAGCCCCTTCCGGTGGGGTGGGGGGAAAAGTTGGCCACCCTTGTACCTGTAAGAGATAAATGTTACTTTCACCCCTGCATATATGTGATGTCAGATCACTTTCTGAACAAAACAAATTAAGAAAACTCCCACTGGTATCCAAAGAGGGTTGGGAGTCCAAAAAGCAATATATTGGTAAACTTATTTTCAGTTGTCATTTGGGGCATTGCTGTCACTGTTTCATTCCAACTCTCTGCTGGTTTTGGGAGGGAGACATCTTTAGTTTAATGGACCTTTTCATAAAAACCTATCAATCTTCAAACCAGCCTTGTGTTTCAGAAGCAACTGAAATGTGGAACACCTGGGTTCTGTTGCAAGTCTCATAAGGAGGGAAAGTTTTCTACTCTGTTAATTAAATAAACCACTTGTTTAAATGAACTGGGAAAACAAATTCCTTCATATGACCCACATGGCTCTGCAGCAGCGTTTGAACCAAAAACCTTTGCATCTCCACCACAGACCTCTATTGCTGGAGCTGTAGAAATGAGTGTTATCCACTGTGTGGAGCTGTCACTAAAAGCAACACATACTTGGCCCATGGGTCATTTATATTCAAGATCTGGGTTCCAGTGCCAATTCTGCCAGAAATGACCTTGTGCATGTGAAGCTCTCAGTTGCTTTATTTGTAAAATGCAGATAATAATATTTGCCTCACTCCTAGAGTGAATGGTATGAGGCCATACTCAGTTTGAAATACACAGAATATAAACAACAATCAGTAAAAGAGGTAAGATTAGAGCTCATAGCCTGCTAGTCTGCTGGTTCCCAGATTAGTGGGTCTTCTCCTAAGCCAAAAGTCTCTCTCTCGTGTACTGTGACATACTTTAGAGGTCTGCCTTCATTTTTCCCCAACAGAGCTCTTTTTCTGATCAGTCAGTCATGAACAAGGCTTTGGCCTTCATGGACTTTATATGGCGGCTCACTTGTTGACAATCATCTGAGAAAGAATTTGCTCAGAGCACAGAGGAGGCACTGAGCACACTTCACCACAGCATGTCCTGTCACGTGATTTAAAGTGGAATAGAGTCATTTTCTCCACTCAAGTAAAAATTCTGCAGTCGTCCCCTGTGCTATGCAGCACAGTTGAGTTAATGACAGGTTTCAGAGTAACATCCGTGTTAATCTGTATTTGCAAAAAGAAAAGGAGTACTTGTGGCACCTTAGAGACTAACCAATTTATTTGAGCATAAGCTTTCGTGAGCTACAGCTCACTTCAACGGATGCATACTGTGGAAACTGAAGAAGACATTATATACACAGAGACCATGAAACAATACCTCCTCCCACCCCATTCTCCTGCTGGTAATAGCTTATCTAAAGTGATCACTCTCCTTACAATGTGTATGATAATCAAGTTGGGCCATTTCCAGCACAAATCCAGGTTTTCTCACCCTCCGCCCCCCCCCCCCCCCAATTCACTCTCCTGCTGGTAATAGCCCGGGATAGGGTGGTGTTTATGTGACCATTGTTTATTAGCACTGTAGTGTCCAGGAAGTGGATCTCTTGTGTGGACTGGACCAGGCTGAGGTTGAGGTGGGATTATCATGCACATTGTAGGGAGAGTGGTCACTTTGGATAAGCTATTACCAGCAGGAGAGTGAGTTTGTGTGTGTGTGGTTTGGGGGGGGGGGGTGAGAAAACCTGGATTTGTGCTGGAAATGGCCCACCTTGATTTTCATACACATTGTAAGGAGAGTGGTCACTTTGGATAAGCTATTACCAGCAGGAGAGTGAGTTTATGTGGGGGAGGGGGGAGCGGAGGGTGAGAAAACCTGGATTTGTGCTGGAAGTGGCCCAACTTGATTATCATACACATTGTAAGGAGAGTGATCACTATAGATAAGCTATTACCAGCAGGAGAGTGGGGTGGGAGGAGGTATTGTTTCATGGTCTCTGTGTATATAATGTCTTCTTCAGTTTCCACATTATGCATCCGATGAAGTGAGCTGTAGCTCACGAAAGCTTATGCTCAAATAAATTGGTTAGTCTCTAACGTGCCACAAGTACTCCTTTTCTAGTTGAGTTAATAGCTCTCTGTTGTTTAATTTAGTGAAGTTGCTGCTTCAGATCTATTCAAAGATGATATATATATAGGTGAAATTGATGCTTACAGGTAAAATTGCAATCCTCTTTAGTTGCAGTGTAATGCAGTACTATGAATCAGATTTCCTGAATTGGTAGTCTTACTATGGTTTTACATCCACCGTGCAAATACCTTTTGAATTTCTTCTAATATTAGGAAACAAGATTGTTTGGGTAGCCACTGAAAAAAATCGGTACTTTTTCTATATTGTATTACATTACAACTGTAAACAAAATTAAAAGACTTGGATTCCTTCGGGATTTAGTGGGTTTAACTAAATTGTCTGTATTGCATCTCCAGGATGGAAAATCACTGAACTGTAATTTTATTCCATTGGATATAAAATTGGATAATTGGGAGGATTTACCAGAGAGTTTTCAGCAAAAACAAAATCGTTCATTGGTAAGAACAATCTTTAAAATGTTACTATGAAAATAACATAATGTTTAATTTGGACCTCTTTAATTTTTATAAATGGAGACCATTTTGTTACCCTGCTTCAAGTTTCAGTTGTTGATTACATTTCCTCAATGCAGCCAGATTTTATAAATGTGGATATGAATAATAAATGTGCATTCTGTTACTTTGGCAAATTATCACGCCTCCTGTTACCATTTCTGTAGATAGAATCATCATCACATCAATTAGTTTCTCATTTACAGGATTAGTAAGTGATGTTCATAAGTTATCAAAATTACATATCATAAAGGTTATGTTTTAAGAGTGGCATACTGTGAGTCGAGAAAATATGCTTGACTGCGTCACACTTGTGATGTGTGTAGGCCGCAGAGTTCTCAGTGTGCTCTATGGTCACCCTCCTCTCTCAGCAAGAGTGTTCAAATCAATGTGGAGCATGACATGCTGAGACTTGTAGTCTCCATGAATTCTATCTCTATAATGAAGATTATATCCAAAACATGACATTAGAACTTTTAGGTTCAAAGTCAAGTCCTCAGAATTTAGAAAATGCCATTATTAAGTTTGCTCTGCAACATTGGAACCTTAATTTTTTTAAGCTAGGTTTTTTAATACAATTTCCTATCTTCTTAAAAAGGCAAATTAAAAATAACAAATTTTATCATGTTTAATCCTATTGATTCCCTCCTGGTTTATCACAATGCTGGGACCTTTAAATCTACAGCACAGACCTCAACCAATTGAGCTAACTGTGTAACTGGTAGCAGTAGAAGGCTCTATTATCCATGTGGATCAGCTATTGGGAAGGAAGAGAGAGACATTTTGTCAGTGCTTTTCAGAGCTATTCACTAGACAGTAGAGGAGTGTTGAAACTCAAGAATCCTGGATTCAGTTTCAGGTTCTGGAGGGGAATGTGTTTCTAGTGCTAGACCCTTCTTCTCCTGTCCTCTTCTGCTCCTTCATCATCTGAGTATGAACTGAGGGAGATACATTCTGTAAAATTAAAATGTAAAATTAGGAGGAAAGGGAAATCATTATGATAGCTTACTTTTTCGGTTCTGAAGGACTGTTTCTGCATAAGGCTTAAGTCACACCTGGAATAATCTAGTCCCCAAAGTGGATGTTTTTTCGCATAGCATAACCAGCTCATGGTTTAGTACAAAATGCTCTTTCAACTTGTTTATAGTTATGCCATTCACCTCTAGTACTGAAACTAGGCAATCTGCATCACAGATCTAGCACTGTTGGGGTTTTTTTAAGTGAGACATGAGTTGTATCTGTGAACCTGATTACAGACTTTATTCAGCTCACTTTACTGAGCCACAATTCCTATTGAGAGCTATGGAAGTTTTGCTTGAATAAGAAAGGCTGAACAGAGTCGTCCATGTTCAAACATTTGTCTATATTTTTATGCTACCCTAGGAAGAGTTTGCCAGTATAGCTATACCAGGAAACCCTTGTAGTGGAGATGCAGTTATATTGGCAAAAGCAGTTAAAACCTGTTCCCTAAACAAAATAACCTATATCAGCAAAAGAATTTTGTGCCAGCACATCTGTGTCTATATGTGGGCTTTGCCAGCATAGCTACATTGATTAAGTGTGTGATTTTTTTTTTCCTCTCTTTCCCCCAACCTCCCTCCTAACTGACATAGCTATATAGGCAAATATTTTAAGTTTAGATCAGGCCCAAATCTTAAAGTTTCAGCAGAACCTTTGAAGCTCACATGAGAAATGATTACATCCCAGAAAAGAACATCTTAAAGCAAGCAAACTTTTTTCCAGTTGACAAAATAATTTTAAATATAATAATCTAAAACATTTCAGTTTAATTAAAGATTTTTGTTTAATACTTGTGCTGTTGACCACTTGACCTTCTCTCTGCCAGATTCTGAGGTTTGTGAGAGAATGGAGTAGTCTAACAGCCATGAAGCAAAAAATTATCAGAAAAAGCGGCCACACTTTTTGTAGCCCTATTCTTGCTGCAGAAGAGATTTCTAAACAGCAGGCCAGGCTGAGCAGCACCAAAAGGTATGTGTTTTTACTTTTCATTCCTTCCTCTTTTGTATGCAGGAAGTCCAAGGCTTTTTTATGTAACGTTCAGTGGAATCATGTTGAGATAATAAACTGAACATTTAGTGATAACTTGTCTTATAGGAATAAATTAGGCATTTTGTGTGCATTTGTGCAAATCTGTTAGAACAGAACATATTGCCTGATTCTCTATCACTATGAGTCCAGTTCAGCACATATTCTGTCTCTGAAGGTTTCTGCAGCTTTAAACATCCAGAAACTGCTAGAGATTCCTGAGAAAAATCTTTCATTCATATTATTAAAATACCATCTATTGGCTTCCACATCTCATTTGTATTATTATTATTATTATTTATTTAAGCACCAGCTGTGTGCTTAGAGCTTTAAAAGGCACATCAGAAGGCATAGCTATTCTACTGAAGAGATTACAGTCTGTTTAGATGATATAAAATATGCTGGGAGACAAGTTTCTATCCTCAAGTATTTATTTATTTACTTATGTTAGTGTTTTGGCAATGTGTGAATAATAGTATTTTTTATTTTTTATTTTTATTTTTTTTAGTTGATTGATTGGTTTTTATTTTGTTGTTGACATAAGCCAGGGTTTTGTAGAAAGAGTTGGTTTTATGCCTTTCTTGCTTTCAGTCTTGTTCCTTGTAGACATAGCATTTCTTCTTGAAGGGCCATATGAAAAGGTAACTAACAGTAACCAAATCAGCTGAAAACTCTTCATATGTTACCTAACTTTTCTTTTTCTATTTGGCAGTAGGTCAAATCAAAGAATCCACTGTAAAACTGTAGTCTTGGCTCTTTAAAATTTTTCATGTCCTGCTAGAAGGGAATGTCTCTCTGCCCAAAGGAACTATTCCCCTCCTCCATTTTTTTCATCTCCTTCTGTCCTCATTTAACATTTCAACAAAATAATATTTGTGCCTTCATCTCTCATCTTCCCTCTTGTAAATCCCTCCTTTATTGTCTCTTGGTCCCAGTAGTCCCGATTTCAGTAAGTCCAAAATACATCATCTTGTTTCTCCAGGCTAGAAGCAGGAATAAATTATTACTTATATTTATTTCACAATGCAGAATCTCCTTCTACACTTTCTCAGCCTCACCTCTTCCTTAGTTGATTTCCTATCCTCCTCGAATGCTAGGTTTTTTCAGTATTTATTATTGCTTTCTTTCCTTTTGTGTCAGGTGCCCAGTCAGTGGTAGAATCGAAATTTACCTCTCCTTTGCCTCCTTTCTTGGGCTTCATATACACTTTAACCAGAGGTATCATTTGCAGCTCACGTAAACGTGCCAGCACTAGCTTTTTCATCTCACTAAAAATAGCGGTGAGGATGCAGTAGCACAGATTGTACAAGTCCACCCGACCTGTCATGGTATCTACTCACATTGCTAGCCCGTGGTGAAGCGCGTGTTGCCACATCCACATTTCTGTTTTTAGCAAGCTATCTAGATTAAAGCTAGAGCCAGTATGTCCACATGAACTGCAAATTACACCTCTGATTGCAGTGTGGACATAGCCTCAGTCTCCGATAACATTACTGTCCTCCCTGACATGGGGCTCATAACCTAAGTGTTGTAATTAAACTTTTCTCATACATACATCCGGGCTCTCTCAGCAACATTGTTCTACAACATATATCTAAAACTTGTTGTCTTCTCTTGATCTACTGCTAAATCCTCCCCCCTCCACCAGCAGGATTGGCTGTATTGTGATGGTCAGTAGGAATTCCTGTAAGTATTTAGAGCAGTTTGTAATTTCAGGCTTGCAAAACAAGTATAAATCAGCAAATAGTAGTAATAAGTAGAGTGTTGTATTTTTTAACCTGGCACAGGATTGTTTCATTATATAACATGTAAAAGAGGACTCTAAAAGGAATTCTTCACTGTTTTAGAATAACCAGGATGGCATTTATTGATGTATAGAGATGGTGAGTGGGGATTAATGTGATTGGGTATTAGCATAAACAGGGCCAGATTAAAGCACAAACAAACTAGGCACATGTCTAAAGCCCAGCCTGAGCAGCACTGCAACCCTATGCATCAGGTTGCAAAGCCACTCATTCAGATTTGGCCCGGCTGACCTCTGCGCCTCCCCGCTTCTGAGAGAGGGGCAGCCAAGCCAAACCTGAGTGGGCAGTGGGGTGGCTAGTGCTGCTCCTGCATCAGGATTCCCCCAACCTCCAGGTGCCTGCCTGACCTCACCCTGCTTTCAGCAGCCCATGTCCACTCCACTTTGCCTGCAAGACTCATTCAGCAACAGTCTCGAAACCTGCTAAAAGTACAGGGAGCCAGCCAGGAGAGGGGTGGCAGGGAGCTGTGCAGGGGCAGACATGAGATGGCTAATAGGGCAGTGTCTATGCAGCAGAAGCCAGTCACTGACTGACCTGAATAGAAGATGGTTAATTAAGCAACATCCATGCTGCGAGAGGTGGACTTGCTTGGGTGAACAGATTACTAGTGCAGCTGTGCTGGCCAGGACAGGGTTAATTTAAATGCATCCCTACCACAGAAGCATCTCCTGGCTGGCCATTAGAGGGGCCCAGAAGTGTATGCTTGCCTAATGCCTTGCCCTGACCATTAGTTAGTTAAGTTGATCAATAATTATATCTTAAGAGTGACCAAAACATGGGGGGCTATTGAATTTTAACAGAGCTTAATTTCGAAGAATAGGGATGATCTTAGAATAAAAAATACAAAGGAAATTGAGCAAATTCGAAGATAAACTAATTTTGCCAGAACTCTTTCATGGCTTCAGCACTTCTCATATTCTCTACCAAATAGTACCTTTTCCAGAACAAATAAAAACAAAAAACCCTGGAATATCAGTGATGTTTCACTCAAGTGAAACAAGCTTTCCATTGTTTTTGTATCACTTTTTATAATTACTTGTCATGGAAAATAACTCATTATCTGTTGGCAGCACAACAGAGAGGTGGCTGTTTTTTTTTTTTTAAAGAAATCTTACCTAATGTGGAAAAACTGAATGAGTAAAATACATTTTCCAAACGCTACTCATGCCAGGTTTACGAAGTAAAAAAATATTTGGATGGGATTTTCTACATCAGTATTGCTGCAAGTGACATGAATGTTCTTTAGAGAAGTATTCAGTTGTCTGCAGTACAGTTCAGGAGAAAAAAGAATACTGAAACATCTTGTAATAATTCCAGATATGTGACAAAAGAGGATGTTGCTGTAGCCTCACTCAGCAAAGCTAACAGCAGTGGGGGCAGCGTATGCTTGGTCACAAAGAAAGCTGCATTTTACTTGAAAAACGAAGGTACTTCTGCTGGAAAAACAGATGGCCATTCCACAAAGTAAGTTTGTTAATGTCAATAAAAAAGACAAAATAGCCAGAATGCAGTAATTAAACTAGTTTTTCCCAAAATTATTTTTACTTTATGTAATGAAATTATAGGGTACAAGGGCTTATGTTAATATGATGCATTGCTTAAGATCAAAGGCATTTACCTTGTGCTGATGAACTAAATCTTATTTCCTATAATGATTTATGTTATGTGTGTTAGCGAGCACATTTGTCAGTGGACAACTGTGTTTCCTAGTAGGAAAGAAGAAAAAAATTGTTTGATCACGGAAATGGAGAGCTTACACACAAACAAGCCTGTGAGGTTCACAGCAAACGGAGACACAAAGAGTATGTCTGCACTTTGAGCTGGGGGTGTGATTCCCATCTCAAGGAGACATACTAGTATTAGTTCTGATTGAGCTAGCACGCTAAAAATAGTGGTAGCTGAGGCAGCAAGAGTAGCAGGAAGGGCTTGCAGCCCTGATGATGTGCCTAGCACCTCAGGTGGGTATGTACTCAGGGCAGCTAGCCCTTCCTGCTGCCCGTGCTGTCTCAGCTACCACTATTTTTAGCATGCTAGCTCAGTCAGATCTAAGACAGGTATGTATGTCTCCTTGAGCTTGGAGTCGGATCCCAGCTGGAAGTATAGACACACACAAACTCCTAATTTATTTAAAATGTAATAGATGTGGGGGAGAGAGTGTCTAAAACTAACTGGAAAGGACCTCTATGCCTGCTTTTTCTCTGTCAGCCACTTCTCTACTTCAGGAGAAAATAGAGGATATAGAACCTTGATTAAGTCAAGATATTTACAAGATAGCCATGAAAGATATCTAAACAAACAGGAAGTTCTCACAATTTTTCCTCAAAAGAATTTTTACAACATCCCTTTTACAACTTACTTTCTATTATAGACTTGAAGGGTAAAATTTTATAGCCTTCTTTTTTCTGTATATACATGTTAAGAATGCACCTTTTTTATGCATGTGTAAACTCGCATTTCCACTGGAAGACTGGGAAACTCCAGCTAATAATTAAATATATATGAGTATAATAATTTAATGCGCAAATGGGTGTTTACCAAGTTTGCATATGCAAAAAAAAGTGAGGCCTTTTAGAAATCTGGTCATAAAAAATTTAATTCAAGTGGGATGTTTGCATTGTGCAGTGACCAACCAAAGCAGCATGAGTTTTCATTGGAGTTGTACTTTTCATGATAAAAGAAACTTAATCGTTGATATTGAGTATATAAGTATTGTATACTGACCCTGATGAAGTCCAATCTTATTAAATAATTGCTTCTTGTCCTTATCACAGGTTACTTTTAAAAGACGGGAAAGATTCCCCTGTTCTTAATGCAGATTCAGTTCAGGCTGAAGTTGTTGAAGATCCTGCCATATACAAAGGATATTTACAGGCTGTAGATGATAAAGGAAATCCACTTTGTCTTAGCTGCCAACAACCAACAGTTCATCTCGACCAACATTGCAAATCTATTGCTTGGGAAACACGATTTTGTTCTCTTAAATGCCAGGAAGACTTCTTAATTCGCTCTAGTCAGAGTTACCTGAGGAGTAAAGTATTTGAAGTCGAACATGGTGTTTGTCAGCTTTGCAATCTCAATGCCCAGGAACTCTACCTTAGCATCAAAAATGCACCTAGGAATCAACGTAAGAATCTTCTGGAGAGTTCTTGGATGTCTCAGCTTCCATTAGGACAGGTAATGGCAATGGTATTTAAGCAGTAACGTAAATCAATGTATTTCTGTGGCAGGTGGTGGTTATGCTCCTTAAGTCATTTTAAAAGGTAAGTGGCTGAAAACAAATGTTTATCAATCAACAGAGTAGAAAATTGTACAACAAATGAACTACTTGGGGTGGACACTTCTACCCCATCATCCCTCACAGCAACAAAAAAGAGGTAATAGTTTAAAAAAAAAAAAAAAAAGGTCCTAAAAACAAAAAACCCTACCCCAAGCAGAATTTTTATCCCAAAAAGGGAGAAGTACCAGATGATTCCATGAAGTCCAGTAGGGACTTGACTATTGCTATAGATTTTACATGAAAGGTGCTGTAGTACAGTAATGAGTGATATTCTAAAAGCCCTAAGATAGGTAGATACTTTTAAATTCCATTTAATAACTAATGGACTAGATGACCTTCAGGGGTCCCTTCCAACCCTGATATTCTATGATTCTATGATATGATTCTAAGCTCCAATTAAGTGTCTGCTTAAATTGTTTGGGGTTTTTTAAATGAGGAAGGAGTCTCTTCTAAATCTTAAGAAAAATTACAGAGGTGGCATGAGTTCATGATTCTATATTTATGGGAGTCACTCCACTGAGAGATTGCCCTGGCCTAGAGGTAGCCTAGCAACAACTTAAAATAATGATGAGCCACACAGTGGCACATTGATTTAGTTGGGGTTGGTCCTGCTTTGAGCAGGGGGTTGGACTAGATGACTTCCTGAGGTCTCTTCCAACCCTGATCTTCTATGATTCATCTTCTTCTATGATAATGCAGTAAGATGTAAGAGTTTACTGGTTATTACTTCTAGCATACAAAAAAATTCTTTAACTTAGTGTTTCAGTTCTTTAATACAGTAGAACCTCAGAGTTATGAACATTTTGGTTATTCTTTCAAAAGTTTACAACTGAACATTGACTGAATACAGCTTTGAAACTTTATTATACAGAAGAAAAGTGGTGCTTTTAACCATCTTAATTTAAATGAAACAAGCACAGAAACAATTTCCTTACTTTGTCACATCTTTTTTTTAAAGTTTCCCTTCCCTTTATTTCTTTAGTTGTTTATTTAATACAGAACTGTACTGTATTTGACACATTCCCACGCCTCTCTTGGGAGGCCCATCCCATAGTTGGAGAACCACTGGTGTAGATTATCATGATGGTAGTGGGCTAATGCTTAGAGACTGCTGTTGTTAGCTGTGAATTTTGCTTTAACTTATATTTTCCTTTTTGAATCTTTGCCTTGTGAGGAAGTACATGTGAGCATTCTTAACTCTAAGCTAAGTTGTTTTGTGTGGGAATTTGCTCTTTTTTTCAAAATGTAACTTGCATACATGCACAGGATGAGAACTCAGGGCTAAAGACTAAAGAGCTGGAGAGAGGAATTAGCTGGGTAGTATAGCAGTAGAGTCAGTCAAATAGTCACATCTCATCTGTTTAAAACAGAACATGCCTGATGAGTAAGCTCTAACCTACACTCCAGCTTCCTCAGGTTGTGACTCAAAGCTCTGTATGTGACGCTCCAAAAGCCCTGTAGCCTGAGAAGCTTTGAGCACCAACTGACAAAACTTTGGGCATCAGATTTTCCTACAAAGAATATAAGGTTTTAAATACAGCAGAAATATTATTGTTTTACCTCTTTAAAATAATTTCATAACTTTTATTAATTTGTAGACTAAAATGGAAATTGTAGCATTAAAAACAAATGACTTACCATGAACTGCTGAAATAATGATTATTCTTCCATCTAGATTTAGAAGTTTAACACATATATTTATTTTCAGTAAAATAATCTGTGTTCATTTTGATTGGCTGCCACTTAACAAATAACTCTTATACGAAAAATATATTTACAAACTGAAAATAAATCAACATTCTTTAGATGCAAGTACAGTATCTGTTGGATTAGAACTGCTTAACAGTAAAGAAAAACTAGGTGTGTTTTAAAAAGCAGAGCATTGCATTACATGCGTCATCTAGTTATATAATAAAGAGAGCTTCATTCACCACTGAAATGCAGCTATTTTTAGCTTACAACATGGCAACAGCAGCAACGCACAGTTAGTTTATGACAGGAAGTGAAGAATGCCACATCCAATTCAAGCAACAAAAGATTAGGTATAGTTGAATCCTACTGGACCTTGGCCAAGACACTAGTTCAGATGCCTCCTATTATTTCAAAATGTTCATTAAAGTCTTAATGGCAATGGGATGTCATTTCTGCATCTCCTCAAAATACACTTATAATAACAGCCTTCCTCCATTTTCATGATGGGTCATTGCTTCTGCATTGATTCGGAGGGAATAGTGCCATTTGGCACCTACTGAATAAACACCACTTCAGAGATCAAAGTTTATATGTGGTGAACCCTACCAGTGCCCATTCAAACTTATGAAAAACTTAGAAACAAATAGTAACATTTGGCATTAGCCATCAGCATTTTAAGATATAAAGAGTAAAATAAGTGAGTTCAAACCACAAAGACCAAGGAGTCTCTTTTCTTTACATCCTTTGTACAAACACTACTATGTTGTTTACTGTTCACCTCCACGTTATGTTTAAATTACAATAGTTCTTAGCCTTTTTGAAAGCTTTCTTGGGGTTATAATGTTTCACTGTGCTCTTCACTAGAAGACCCATCAACAAAACTGAAACTTTATATCTAAATATAGTAGAAACATTAAACAGTCACAGTCAATATCTGCTTATTTGTGAATTGCCAAGTTTATGATGGTATTTTGACTTTTTTATTTTGTAAGTGACAAGATTGAAGGTGCATCACTTTTTCTTACTCTGACATTTGTTTTTAGTACTGACACCTGCCATTAATAAAATAATAGACATTAAAGACATATTGCTTGTGTCATTCAGAAACAAAAATCTTAATTTCTGTTCTGCATCTTTTCTCAGTTTTCTTTTTTATAATTCTGTAAATGAACACAGATGCATTAGGATATTCCTCTTGGGTCCTGCATTTTAGCACTTGCTCTAATGTATCAAACTACTGTGCATTTGGTGAAAATAAGCTTTCTAAAAATATAACTCCTGGTTGCCTGTATAAACATGATTGAAGAATGTATGACACAATTTCGTCTGTTCAGAGTTGGCTGTTTAATGCTATAACTTCTGATGCTATGTCCTTTGTTTACTACAGTTAAATGAAATTATAACAAACCCAGCAGAAGGCCAGTTCTGGCAGGTGGATCATATCAAACCAGTTTATAGCGGAGGAGGACAGTGCTCTCTGGAAAATCTTCAGACTCTATGTACAGTTTGTCATAAGGAGGTCAGTATAAATCAGAACTCATAATCCCCTGTATATTTAAGTAAATAGATAATTTATGGAAGGGTCAATGAAAAATTCTACAGCCATAATTTTCAAAAATAACTGGATGACTTCTTGGTCACCAAACTTGATACACTTTAAAGGGGCCTGATTTTCTGAGGATTGGGTGCTCAGCATTTGCTGAAAACCAGTCTTTTTTTATAAATGTCTCAGTTGTGCTCCCAAAATTGCTAATTGCTGTTCAGAATATCGGCTCAAGTGTATAAGCACTACATATAAGCTATAATATGTTCCCACCTGATCCCCTGATATGACCTGCAATGGGTTCATATCCTGTTTGTTGAAACTTCTTGATATAAAACTACTGAAAGCATTACTTTATATAAGTTCTCCATAACAGGTACAGTAGAAGCTGTTTCTTTCTTTACCTCTTGAGGAGGACTTAATAGGATACTTTAGGCGTAAGTGATAATTCAGGCTATGTCTACACTGCGAGCGAGGAGTATGATTCCCCTGCTCTCGTATATGTGCTTGCACTAGCTCTCATGGAGCTGATGCCAGTATAAATAGTAGTGTAACCACAGTAGCACAGGGAGTGGCAATGGCTTAGCCATGCCAAGTACAGACACACCAGTTTCAAATGAGTTTGCACTTGGCATGGCTAAGCTATGCCTCCACTGCCACGGTCCGTGCTACCATGGCTATGCTACTATTTATGTTCATGCTAGCTCTCAACAGAGGAGGAGTTCCGGGCCAAACAGCACAAATAGATTAGAAAGTAATATTTGTAATTTTAGGCACTAGGATTTTACAGCATCCTGATTATTTTACACTTATGACCGTTAAAATAAAAGATTTTTTATCTCTATCGTGCAGCTAGTTACAGTCATACTTTCTGCAGTCTTGCAGAGTTTAAACATGGGAAGTATATAAGGCAGAGCTCATTTAAATATCAGTTAATGCAGTTAATTTCAGTTATGTACACTTACAATTTATTTTTTCCTATCTTTTTTGACTAATTTAAAATAAAAAGCTATCAGTGGGCCTTCCATCTAAGGACATTATCCTACAGTTGTATCTGGGTGGGTGCATCCTTGTGCCTGTGTAGAGCCGCACTGAAGTCAGATGATGTTATGTAAGATGTACAGAGGTGTTCCTGGCCCTCTCATCACCTCCCCTTAAAGCATCAACCCACATTTCCTGTTTCTGTGTAACCTGTAACTCAGCTGACCTTGCAACCAGTGAACATAGTACATTGGAAAATATGACAGGATCAGGTCACTAAATAGACTGAATGAAACAAGTTTCATTGTTCTTTACAAATATAAGTAAAATGAACTGTCAAAGGCAATAATAATCAACAGTAGTAATCATAATTAGTAACCCTTACTTAGTTTGATTTATAGTGGTAGCCTTAGATACACTCTCTGTTGGGAGTAGTAAATTTAAGTTTTCAGGAACACAATAAAAACCCCAATTTTTATCCAAAGGTTAGGAGTTTTCTTTTTTGTTTTCTTTGCAAATAATACTATTAAGATTGTAAAAGTTGGACAAAAAATACTATGTGCTAAAGACCTATGTGCTATGAATAGTCAAAATAATAAGTAATTTGGTTATCCTGTTCTTTAGGAAGTAAAATATGTGTGTACAGTGACTAGCACAGTGGGGTCGTGGTCCATTACTAGGGTTCCTGGTACTACAAACAATAATCTTCAAAAATAAAAATATTACACCTGAAATACTATATCCTCAGTGCTAGATACTGATTTCCCCCAATAAAGAGGTATGGGTGGATTTCAGTATAGTTATCATGTTAATTTAAGTTGTCTTTTTCACTCCTTTAGTAGCTTCTTGAAGTGCAGCTTCCTAGAGGTTGCTGGTATATACTCAAGGTGTCACACCAGCAGGTACTCTGCAAGTGATCTTGCAACCACATTTGAACAGGTTGGACTATGCAGACTTCCTTTAGGGGTAACAGACTTTCCCCAGTATTAAGTGTAAAATAAATAGTAAAAAGAAAGCATTACAAAAATTCCCAGTTTGGGTTTGGGAACAGACTGTGCCACTATAGTCAGCATACATGCTCCAAGGTTGTGCAGTGCTGGGTTGTACAGCAGCAGCATATACATGGTACATTCAGTGCATGTGAAAGTTGTTGCTAGGTTTTTACCAGTGGAGACTGAAGCTGAAATTCTTTCTGCTGCACTGCTTCTCTCTTCATTTGTCACTAATGGGTAATACCTCACATCTATTGAATTCAGAGATGGTCCAGTGTTGTTGTTGCTGGAAGCTCCAAGATTAAGCCCTGCCCTTCAGCTCAGGTCACCAAAATTTCTTCCTCCAGCAGCGGAACAAGCTGGTAGTTCAGTTTCTCCTGACCATTTTGTTTTATAACTTGAATTTTTATTCATTTGCATGGAACAGCAAATTCATTTCAGCTCATTCTCCTGAGCTTGTGGAATCCACTGAGTCTCTAACCGAGTCTCTAACAAATGGGTTTGTCTGGAACGGTACCTCTAGTGAGCTCCTTTGCCCTCCCCGCCACCACTATGACAGCAAAGAAGCCCTACAAACATCAAGCCAAGTCTGAGGAGTTTTATAGGCAGTTTTTCAGGAGCCTCAGAGGGTGAGTTATTCCCTGCTGCTGCAAGCCACTGACCTTTCCTTTGCCAGGGTTACATGTTTGAGAAAGCAAGCTCTGCTCTACTGCCATAAGCCATCAGGCCTTGCTCTGGCAGGACAAGGGGCTTTGAGTCAGACTGGCATGCTCGGGCCACACTCCCTACCCAAAGCTGTAACTCCACCATGGAAGGCATGACCAGGAACATGAAGATTTCCAAGGAGACCAGGACCCCTCACAGCCTGCTCGGGGCCAAGTCTTGCAAACTCCAGAGGCTCCAGGTCCCAAAAGGACACAAGCACGTATTCATTCATGAGGAATTAATCCTTATTATTAGTGAGCAATGACACAAAAATACAGATTTAAATTATTTCTCCTTTGACTTCCTACCACTGAGTGTGTGTTTGCTTGGGCGCTCCACTTATACAGGGGATCTAACAGTGCTCTGTATCATGATTACTGTAAGAGACACATGTGTTCAGCATGTCTGGGATGAGATACCTGTGATTTCTGTGAAGCCCTTTCTCGGGCAAGTGTAATGGGAATTGTGCCTGTCTGGCTTTCAGTCACAGACTCTCGGTCTTCCAAGAATCTGAAAGGCAAGAAGTGGTTTCTTTATGTCCCTCTTCCTCTCCATGAGTTGGCTCCACATTAAAGCATTAGGAGAGTTTGTTAGGCAGCCTGTATCCACACCAGACACAGAAAGTCTGAATGTCCCACACAACTTCATCAACCGCTCTCTACCTTAAGTTCCTAAAACTTAACTTCCCCCTTAAGTTAACCCCGAGTGAAAAAAACAGTCACCTTTTCAGATGGGGACTTCCTTCCAAAAGATCTCATAGGCCATAAGAGTGAGGATACCATACAGATTTCAGAATCTCCAACATATAAAGTCCACACACCAGTTGTTCCCTGTTCATCTCATCCTATACAAAATGCCAAGGCCTTAGAACCTCAAAGATGCTGCAAGCAAGATGTGAAAATCCTGCACCAGTTAGCATGCTAGGCATCTGGGAAACCATAGAGTGAGGGAATCAAGGCTTCCTCTACAAGGTCCTTTGTGGTATCATAGGAAGAAAGTGTGTGAACCCCCATCCTAAGAAGATTGCAACAGAATTTCCAGTCTTCTACAGAGGCATCCTTTGGTAGGAAAGTGCTAGTGGGTTGGTTCCGAAATAATTCCTTAAATTACAAAGCTCTTGTAATGGGAGTATGTCTATTTCTGCCTGTTGTTCTCCAGTAATAATAATAATTCTGCTTATCCTTCCTCTCTGTAAGTCTGTGATTCACTGCTCACTAATTCCCAGTTATTTTGAACGAGGAGAGAAGCTCTGTAACAGAATGAGAAATTTCTTACCTGATCATTTTCTTTCTGATACAACTTCTCTCCTCATTCAGCCCACCCTGATTGATAAATTACTGCAATACAATTTGTAACAAATTGAAAAAATTCTCTGAAAGGAGACTTAAGCATATAATTACCTTAAAGTTAGTTGATATCACTGCAAGTTGTTGCCCTAGTGCTAATAATCAGTTGCTGAAGTGTGGCTAAAATTTTGGAAGAACTCTGCTGGTGACTTGAACTGAAGAGTTGAGCTTAGTCCTCGAGCCTCCAGCAACAACACTGGACTACCTGCAAAGTCCACCAATGGAAGACATTATCCATTTGTTATGAACGAGGAGAGAAGCTGCTAGCAGAAAATTACCAGATAGGATATTTCTCATTGTTTGTGTACAGAATGAATAACACCATTGGAAGCTTCTGCATGCTGTGTTGTTAATGTGTCTCAGTTCTACCTAACCTGAAGGGAGGAGAGTATCAGTGGGGATGAAAGGATCATGTAATAATGTAATGTTAGTAAACTTCAAAGCAACCTGTTTCATTTTTGGCACCACTGCTGAGAAAGACAATAAGGATGTTTGTTACTGCCAATTGCAGTGGTGTTTTTAATGTAGACACTTGTATACTAAGAATTGGACTAGGACTATCAAACTTATTTTGCACAGGTAAGTAAATAACCATCAAATGGTAGTAATTTTAGAAAAAGCTTTAAAAGATGCTGCCTTTTAAGGTAAATGAGTCTCTTCCACTAATGGGGTGAACTATGAATAAGAAGTAAGATACAGGCATAGATCCACTTTAAAAACATAAGATGTATGTAAAGTGATTCTCTAACCCCCCTTGGAGCCATATATTACGGTGTTCTAATCCTGGCTGTCCCACTGACTTGCCGTGTGACTTGGTGCTAGCCATTTGTCTATGTCTGTTTATCCATGTTGAGAAAGAAATAATACATGTTATCAGTCCTCACAAAACTCCCTATAAGAACATTTATTTGCACAGCATCGATGTACAGTGCTACCTGACTGCTAAATATTAAGTACTAGTTGACGGCAATGCACCCTTCTGGTGGACAGGGTTATGAACATCAGGGCCTGCAACATACTTCAATAGTCACCTTCAACAGTTAGCTGTCTAAAATCCCTTAAATAGAACTTGTGAATTTAAATTATCATCATTTCTCCAAATTGGTTGCCTCATTCTACCATATGAGCGCCTTGCAGAAGAAATTAATGTAACACTTTTATAAATAGACTGACATTTTGGTGACTTATAGTAGAAATAGCAAAGCCCAAATATGTTTTTTTTTTCTGTAATCAATCAATTAACAAGTATATCAGACTTCAAGATTCTAGTTCTAAAAAAACACATGAAGAGTTTTACTCCAATAAGTAAGACTGATGTTCTTCTTGTAATATCTAATAGAAAAATCAATGTTCAAATTTGATCTTTCTCCTGTACTCAGTACTTCATAAAGAAATGAGTGTGCCAAATTGGAAGACTTTAGTTCAACAAGAACTTGGAAGTTGTCACCCTGTTACAAGCATCTATATTTTAGATAATGTGATAAGTAGTACAACACGTTTGATCTAACATGAGACCCCAATTCTTTAACAATCAAGGTAAACTCAAATGTAGAATACTGTTGCTAAGTAATTTTTAATATACACAGACACATCTTTCTTTTCAGAGAACTGCTAAACAAGCCAAGGAAAGAAGCCAGATGAAAAGACATTCTTTAGCTTCAAAATATGGATCTGATATCACAAAATTTTTTGTAAAGATGTGAGTAGGATATAGCATCATATACTACTGATGTGAAATGCAAATGTGTTTAGTTTAGTATTTCAGAACTATCATGTATGTGCATGGGTTTTGGTTGGGCATTGATGCAGAATTCTGAATCTTTACAGTCTAATTCTTTTAATAGAGTAACTTCTGATAAATCTTACTCAGTTAAAACCAAGGTTAGGGAAAGAAGTGACCATTCTATTTTATAATTGTTTCAGTATTTCTGGGGTGTCAGAACAACACAACATCATATTGTCATCATGTACCATGACAGTTTCTTCACTAGATGGATCAGTAGCTTTAAAACTCTATATCCTGGGTTTTGTTGTCATAAGTCAGAAACTTAATGTTGTTTCAGTATATGTTATAGGACCTATTTTGTTCTACTTTATTTCTGTTTCCAAATTAGATTATTTGTAACTCCACCTGTCAGAAACTGGTGAGGCTTTACTGGAATTTTTATTGTCCTTGCATTGTTCTGACATACTAGGGGCAAACATCTTACAGTAAAGATGTCTTTGCTTAAATAATTATTTGGTATCTTTGGTTCCAACATTAAAATTGTTTTTAACATACAGAAATAGGCAAATGTACCCTAAATGAAGTAAGGGACGAAGGTTTTTAGTTCTTTATTTTTCTATTTCTATTTTTCAGTACTTGGGAGATGTTCTGATACTAAAGTGATAGCTGACATATGAATACCTAGACTGATAACTGTGTGTGTCATTGTTCGGGAATTGAGTTTGGATTGGGTTTATTTTCAGCAATTATTTTGGCTACATTTCAGATAGAATAAAAGAGAAGTGGCAACGGTTTAATTGTCAGAATTATTTGAAGGTTATTTCCTATGCTAACTGCATTTCTATTTCATTTTTCAAAACAAATGTACTGACTGCTCTTTTCATGGGCTGCATAGTACATTAGATGGTCAATGTTTCAAAATATGACTGAATCCAACTGAACCTGAAGCTGAATTGAACACACATGTGACGGAGAACACTGTATTTCCTATAGGAGCTTGTTTTGTATTAGATAAAATAAAATTTGCGTTCTCAGTACCTCCAGAACATATTCTCATTTGCATAGCTCATGCTGACAGCTATGTATCTCTTTCTCTCACTGTGATCACAGTCTTGTTACTTGAATTTGGAAGGGTAACATCCAAAGTTAGCTCACTATGGCAGCGGGGTATTTCACATACTGGTTAATCACCTCTTCTTAGTTGTTTTCTCTTTAAGCAAGTAAAATTAGCTGGTAAAGTATCCTTGATGCCTCTCAGAAAACTTTTTAAAAATTACTTTTAGAATATAAAAAAAATTGTTTCTGTGGGTTTTTTATTAACTTCAGGGGTTGTCACAACAAATTTTTTGGTGGCTACCAACTCTTGCTGGTGGCCGCTCTGATGATTTTTTCCTAAAATACTTACTTAAATGTAGAAAAAAACAAATTCATATGCACATACACATGTCCAAATCATTGTAATTTATTTATGTAGGATTTTTTGAAGACTAATTAATAAAAATAATGTACAGTTGTCTATATTCTTTACTGAACCTAAACACAAGAGAAACAATGTCTGTACAATTCTGAACTAAATTTAGAAATCCTTTTTCATAATAAAAGTCCAAATAATAATTAAAAACATATCTCCAAATATGTCCAAAATTTCTCTTACATAAGTGTAGGCAAAAAAATCAATCCAATTCAGTAATAATAATGATGATAGTGACAACAAACAGAATCCTCTTACATTGTACTTTAGTAAAGTTCTGGGTTGTATCTGACTATGTGCAAAAGTTCAGGAGCTCTTTGAATGGAAAGTCTGAAGAATCCCAGGTCTTCTGTGAAACTAGAAGGGAAGTTTCCAGGTTAGCATCAGTGAGCAGTTTCAGTATGTGTTCTTTCAGAAAATGCAGTTCACCAAATGCCCTCTCACACAGCACAATAGTAGAAAACAAGGACAAGAAAAGAAAAGCAACTCTGCTTGTAGGTGTCCTCAAACAGGTATACATTACTCCAGACCTCCAGTACTGTAACACTGGACTGACTGAAATATGTTTGCATTCTTGCATCATTGTGCATTTGCAGCATGAGGTACTTGAGAGTGTCGAAGGAAGTTGATCTGTCTTGCTAGGCAGTTATTTTGTTTGCAGCCAAAAAAGGTGAACCAGAATTGCTGAGTGGGTCGGTCACAAAGGTGTACTGATGGAAAAAGTTTTCCTGAAACAATTTTCAAGAGCCTCCAAGAGGATACTCAGGTATTCAGTTACAGCTAAGCTGACCTTTCACTGCACATTCTCATCTTGACAGCTGAGAAACTGACTAAGCTGATAAAAAACTGTAGAGTCCTGTTCCTCCTGTAGGTGCTGGATGATGTCAGTGATAGTCATTCTGAATGTATTAATTACTTCAGTTCTGTCAAATATCATTAGGTGAGGTTTCTGAAACTCCAGTTCAAGGAAGCAAGCTTTGGTAAAAACTCTTTCAAAAATAGCAAAAAAATCATGTACTTCTGGATTTTGTAGCTTTTGGGATAGTTCTGGTAAAACTGTGTTCAAAGCCTCAACAAGCTCTTCCCGCAGCTCAAACAGCCTCTGTCATTAAAACTAAGCCAGCAGACCAGGTTGTAATTCAGAAGCACGTTATGTGTCTCTCAGCCCATTTTGCACCGAGTTGCAAATCTCCCCTTATTGACACCGCAGGCATGGATGTACTTTTTCACTACAGATTCAATCTCATCCATACTTTTCATTGCAGCCTTGCTGGCAAGTACTTCTTGGTGGGCTAAACCGTGAAACAAAACGTTTCTGAGTTCAGCTCCCCTATTTTTGCGCCTTGCAGAGCCGCTGCCCCATCAGCTGTCAAGCCGCACAGACTGTCAAAGTTAACACGGCACTATTCCATTCTTGCCTGAACACATTCAAAAATGGGTTTGCCAGTTGGCCAATCACTGAGGCTCACCTGATATAAAACACCTTCAGACAAACAATGGCAATCACAGTCAAAAATGCGAACGCATACAATTACCTTGGGATTCCTTGTGACAAGGCTATCATAGGAGCAAAAACATGAGAACTGTGACTTTTTTTTAGCTATTTCTTTTTCTAGAAAATTCAGCAGATCGCTTGTGCTCCTCCGTCACATGTTGTTGCTCAGTAGTATATCTCTGACGCGTATTTTCTGGTTGTACGGCCAGAACACTTTTCTTCGAGTTCTCTGTCGCTGAATGGTTTTCTTGCTTTCCCTAAAAGTAGTGCAACTTTAAAAGTAGCCACCCTTATCTAATCCACTTTATTAAAAAAAATCTCTGAGCCCTCACTGTTGTCTTTTGAGCTCGTTTTTTTAATCATTTAACAGCTTGCGTCTGTGAAACTCACCATGGTCATTCTGTTCAACTTTCCCTGCATGAGTGCTATAATGACGTTGCATTGCATAAATTTTAATTTGATTAATTTCTTTCTTACAAAAAGCGCACACTGCAGCTTGCTCGGAAATTGAATCAGATGGCTTCAGAAACACAAGCAGCTGCGTTTCACACTGGTCCTGAAATGTTTGTTTTTCTTCCTTCCATGTTCTGCTTTTCTTAGCAGCATGTGGCTCTTCTGAGACCATCTCTGTATCATATACAAGGTCCTTTTCTGGCACTGATATTTTGAAAAACTTTTCTGATATCCGTTTGCATTTTTAACTCTTTCACTTTCTGCCATGAACAGTGTCAACCGACCCAAACACCACGTAGTGATCTTGCTGATGATGACATTGGCCAGTAGCTGCTTACGGAGCTATAGTGGCATGAGATGTAAACATAGTGATTAGCCAATGAATACTCTTTGTGACTTGAAAGAATACCACACCTATGTAAAAAGAAAAGGAGTACTTGTGGCACCTTAGAGACTAACGAATTTATTTGAGCATGAGCTTTCGTGAGCTACAGCTCACTTCATCAGATGTTTACCGTGGAAACTGCAGCAGACTTTATATACACACAGAGAATATGAAACAATACCTCCTCCCACCCCACTGTCCTGCTGGTAATAGCTTATCTAAAGTGATCAACAGGTGGGCCATTTCCAGCACAAATCCAGGTTTTCTCACCCTCCACCCCCCACACAAATTCACTCTCCTGCTGGTGCTAGCCCATCCAAAGTGACAACTCTTTGCATAATCAAGTCGGGCTATTTCCTGCATAGATCAAGGTTTTCTCACATCCCCCCACCCCCATACACACACAAACTCACTCTCCTGCTGGTAATAGCTCATCTAAACTGACCACTCTCCAAGTTTAAATCCAAGTTAAACCAGAACATCTGGGGGGGGGGGGGTAGGAAAAAACAAGAAGAAACAGGCTACCTTGCATAATGACTTAGCCACTCCCAGTCTCTATTTAAGCCTAAATTAATAGTATCCAATTTGCAAATGAATTCCAATTCAGCAGTTTCTCGCTGGAGTCTGGATTTGAAGTTTTTTTGTTTTAAGATAGCGACCTTCATGTCTGTGATTGCGTGACCAGAGAGATTGAAGTGTTCTCCGACTGGTTTATGAATGTTATAATTCTTGACATCTGATTTGTGTCCATTTATTCTTTTACGTAGAGACTGTCCAGTTTGACCGATGTACATGGCAGAGGGGCATTGCTGGCACATGATGGCATATATCACATTGGTGGATGTGCAGGTGAACGAGCCTCTGATAGTGTGGCTGATGTTATTAGGCCCTGTGATGGTGTCCCCTGAATAGATATGTGGGCACAATTGGCAATGGGCTTTGTTGCAAGGATAAGTTCCTGGGTTAGTGGTTCTGTTGTGTGGTATGTGGTTGTTGGTGAGTATTTGCTTCAGGTTGCGGGGCTGTCTGTAGGCAAGGACTGGCCTGTCTCCCAAGACTTGTGAGAGTGTTGGGTCATCCTTTAGGATAGGTTGTAGATCCTTAATAATGCGTTGGAGGGGTTTTAGTTGGGGGCTGAAGGTGACGGCTAGTGGCGTTCTGTTATTTTCTTTGTTAGGCCTGTCCTGTAGTAGGTAACTTCTGGGAACTCTTCTGGCTCTATCAATCTGTTTCTTTACTTCTGCAGGTGGGTATTGTAGTTGTAAGAAAGCTTGACAGAGATCTTGTAGGTGTTTGTCTCTGTCTGAGGGGTTGGAGCAAATGCGGTTGTATCGCAGAGCTTGGCTGTAGACGATGGATCGTGTGGTGTGGTCAGGGTGAAAGCTGGAGGCATGCAGGTAGGAATAGCGGTCAGTAGGTTTCCGGTATAGGGTGGTGTTTATGTGGCCATTGTTTATTAGCACTGTAGTGTCCAGGAAGTGGATCTCTTGTGTGGACTGGACCAGGCTGAGGTTGGTGGTGGGATGGAAATTGTTGAAATCGTGGTGGAATTCCTCAAGGGCTTCTTTTCCATGGGTCCAGATGATGAAGATGTCATCAATATAGCGCAAGTAGAGTAGGGGCTTTAGGGGACGAGAGCTGAGGAAGCGTTGTTCTAAATCAGCCATAAAAATGTTGGCATACTGTGGGGCCATGCGGGTACCCATAGCAGTGCCGCTGATCTGAAGGTATACATTGTCCCCAAATGTGAAATAGTTATGGGTAAGGACAAAGTCACAAAGTTCAGCCACCAGGTTAGCCGTGACATTATCGGGGATAGTGTTCTTGACGGCTTGTAGTCCATCTTTGTGTGGAATGTTGGTGTAGAGGGCTTCTACATCCATAGTAGCCAGGATGGTGTTTTCAGGAAGATCACCGATGGATTGAAGTTTCCTCAGGAAGTCAGTGGTGTCTCGAAGGTAGCTGGGAGTGCTGGTAGCGTAGGGCCTGAGGAGGGAGTCTACATAGCCAGACAATCCTGCTGTCAGGGTGCCAATGCCTGAGATGATGGGGCGCCCAGGATTTCCAGGTTTATGGATCTTGGGTAGTAGATAGAATATCCCAGGTCGGGGTTCCAGGGGTGTGTCTGTGCGGATTTGATCTTGTGCTTTTTCAGGAAGTTTCTTGAGCAAATGCTGTAGTTGCTTTTGGTAACTCTCAGTGGGATCATAGGGTAATGGCTTGTAGAAACTCGTGTTGGAGAGCTGCCGAGCAGCCTCTTGTTCATATTCCGACCTATTCATGATGACAACAGCACCTCCTTTGTCAGCCTTTTTGATTATGATGTCAGAGTTGTTTCTGAGGCTGTGGATGGCATTGCGTTCCGCATGGCTGAGGTTATGGGGCAAGTGATGCTGCTTTTCCACAATTTCAGCCCGTGCACGTCGGCGGAAGCACTCTATGTAGAAGTCCAGTCTGCTGTTTCGACCTTCAGGAGGAGTCCATCTAGAATCCCTCTTTCTGTAGTGTTGGCAGGGAGACCTCTGTGGATTAGTATGTTGTTCAGAGGTATTTTGGAAATATTCCTTGAGACGGAGACGTCGAAAATAGGATTCTAGGTCACCACAGAACTGTATCATGTTCGTGGGGGTGGAGGGGCAGAAGGAGAGGCCCCGAGATAGAACAGCTGCTTCTGCTGGGCTGAGAGCATAGCTGAGAACATCTGATGAAGTGAGCTGTAGCTCACGAAAGCTCATGCTCAAATAAATTCGTTAGTCTCTAAGGTGCCACAAGTACTCCTTTTCTTTTTGCGAATACAGACTAACACGGCTGTTCCTCTGAAACACACCTATGTAGTTCAGCTCTGCCTGCACTGTACCATACCGTAATATTTAGAAGGGAATGAGTATACATTATGATTTATGGGGTTTATAAGGTAACTTTAATACTTAACATCTCAGCGATTGTTGGGGCGTTTTGGAGGCTGTCATGACCTCAAAAAAATCTGCTGGTGGCCACATTTGAGAAACTCTGAACTAAGATATTTGCATGAAAACAGGATATATTTTTTGCAAGTTCAGCTGCTCTTACTTATTCCCTTCATCCATTATATTTTGATGATGATGTAACAATATGCTTCTTCTAGTGATTGTTTGCATGGATTCCACTCTTGATGAGCATGGACCCCAGGCATGTACCCCATAAGATTGGATTCTTTTGGCCAGCATTGTCAGTTGCAGGCACGCCTGTGCCCTACATGTGCTTTCACACACCCCTTCCCAGAGCATAAAGGGATGAGCAGGCCCAACCATCCCTCAATTCTTTCTTACCACCAGTGGCAGCAAAAAAAGAGCCCCTGCAGTGTCCATCTTCTCCACGCACTGGCAAGTGTTAGCTAATTAGTAGTTAGTTGTTATAGTTAAGTAGCTAGTGCTTAGGCTGCAAGTCTGTCACAGAGGTCACGGATTCCGTGACTTTCCAGGACCTCCGTGACTTCTGCAGCCTGCTGGTGTACCTGACCCCAGGGCCGCCAGAGCAGCTCGGGCGGCCCCGAGGCCAGCCCCACTGACACCCCCAGCAACAGTGGTCGTCCCAGGCTGCCCCCCCCCCCATCCAGCAGTGGCAGCGGTGGTTCTGGGCCACCCACCTCAGCAACAACAGGCTCCCTGGAGTCCCCTCCTCCAAAGTATCAGCGGGCATCCCAGGGCACCAGCGGGTGCCCTGGAGTAACCCCCCAAGCACCAGCGGGCTCTCCAGAGCCCTCCCACAAGCACCAGCAGGTGCCCCGGAGGCCCCCATACACCCTCCCAGAGCTAATGGCGCCCCCAGAACACCCTAGATTTAGTCAGGGCTTTATAATACAAGTCATGGACGGGTCACAGGGCTGTGAATTTTTGCTTATTGCCCTGTGATCTGTCCATTACTTTTACTAAAAATACCCATGACTAAATCTTAGCCTTAGTTATTGCCCGTTAGCTAATAAAAACCTGAAAAAAAGTTTTGCTTAGATATTTTCATTTAGGCTAGACCCAATCCTCTTCCTCTTTGTAAAGGGGCAATAGCACTATGGCAGAAGCTAAATCTCCAGAATTCAAGCCCTGTCCATCTGTTAATGACAGGCGCTTCCACTGCCTACTCTGTCTAGGAGAGGGACATACTTCAGAGCAATGCTCTATGTTTGGATCTTTCTCTAAGCCAGCAGTTCTCCACCCACAGGCCGCATGCGGCCCAGCTCAGCTGTGTGCTAAAAGCCATCCCCTGGGTTCCCAGCTGCCCAGTGTGGAGGGGTGTGGCCGGGCTGCCCTGCCATCCAGTGCAGCAGGGGCAGGGGCAGAGCTGCCAGCTCATCCACGTGGCATGAGTTCAGGGTCGGGGCTGCTGGCAGGCCCTGTGAGCTCCATACAGTTTTGCACCCCGATGTGGCCCTTGGGCCAAAAAGTTTGCCCATCCCTGCTCTAAAAGGTCTGCATCACCTACTGTCTCCAGAGCTGGATCCCCCCACAAGAGACACAGAT